GCTCTAGTAAGGCATATTTTGTCACCGTTGTAATGTGAGACATTTTAGCACTGGGATAATAATGTTTTAACTATTGACAAGTTACCAAGTATCTAGCTCTAGTAAGGCATATTTTGTCACCGTTGTAATGTGAGACATTTTAGCACTGGGATAATAATGTTTTAACTATTGACAAGTTACCAAGTATCTAGCTCTAGTAAGGCATATTTTGTCACCGTTGTAATGTGAGACATTTTAGCACTGGGATAATAATGTTTTAACTATTGACAAGTTACCAAGTATCTAGCTCTAGTAAGGCATATTTTGTCACCGTTGTAATGTGAGACATTTTAGCACTGGGATAATAATGTTTTAACTATTGACAAGTTACCAAGTATCTAGCTCTAGTAAGGCATATTTTGTCACCGTTGTAATGTGAGACATTTTAGCACTGGGATAATAATGTTTTAACTATTGACAAGTTACCAAGTATCTAGCTCTAGTAAGGCATATTTTGTCACCGTTGTAATGTGAGACATTTTAGCACTGGGATAATAATGTTTTAACTATTGACAAGTTACCAAGTATCTAGCTCTAGTAAGGCATATTTTGTCACCGTTGTAATGTGAGACATTTTAGCACTGGGATAATAATGTTTTAACTATTGACAAGTTACCAAGTATCTAGCTCTAGTAAGGCATATTTTGTCACCGTTGTAATGTGAGACATTTTAGCACTGGGATAATAATGTTTTAACTATTGACAAGTTACCAAGTATCTAGCTCTAGTAAGGCATATTTTGTCACCGTTGTAATGTGAGACATTTTAGCACTGGGATAATAATGTTTTAACTATTGACAAGTTACCAAGTATCTAGCTCTAGTAAGGCATATTTTGTCACCGTTGTAATGTGAGACATTTTAGCACTGGGATAATAATGTTTTAACTATTGACAAGTTACCAAGTATCTAGCTCTAGTAAGGCATATTTTGTCACCGTTGTAATGTGAGACATTTTAGCACTGGGATAATAATGTTTTAACTATTGACAAGTTACCAAGTATCTAGCTCTAGTAAGGCATATTTTGTCACCGTTGTAATGTGAGACATTTTAGCACTGGGATAATAATGTTTTAACTATTGACAAGTTACCAAGTATCTAGCTCTAGTAAGGCATATTTTGTCACCGTTGTAATGTGAGACATTTTAGCACTGGGATAATAATGTTTTAACTATTGACAAGTTACCAAGTATCTAGCTCTAGTAAGGCATATTTTGTCACCGTTGTAATGTGAGACATTTTAGCACTGGGATAATAATGTTTTAACTATTGACAAGTTACCAAGTATCTAGCTCTAGTAAGGCATATTTTGTCACCGTTGTAATGTGAGACATTTTAGCACTGGGATAATAATGTTTTAACTATTGACAAGTTACCAAGTATCTAGCTCTAGTAAGGCATATTTTGTCACCGTTGTAATGTGAGACATTTTAGCACTGGGATAATAATGTTTTAACTATTGACAAGTTACCAAGTATCTAGCTCTAGTAAGGCATATTTTGTCACCGTTGTAATGTGAGACATTTTAGCACTGGGATAATAATGTTTTAACTATTGACAAGTTACCAAGTATCTAGCTCTAGTAAGGCATATTTTGTCACCGTTGTAATGTGAGACATTTTAGCACTGGGATAATAATGTTTTAACTATTGACAAGTTACCAAGTATCTAGCTCTAGTAAGGCATATTTTGTCACCGTTGTAATGTGAGACATTTTAGCACTGGGATAATAATGTTTTAACTATTGACAAGTTACCAAGTATCTAGCTCTAGTAAGGCATATTTTGTCACCGTTGTAATGTGAGACATTTTAGCACTGGGATAATAATGTTTTAACTATTGACAAGTTACCAAGTATCTAGCTCTAGTAAGGCATATTTTGTCACCGTTGTAATGTGAGACATTTTAGCACTGGGATAATAATGTTTTAACTATTGACAAGTTACCAAGTATCTAGCTCTAGTAAGGCATATTTTGTCACCGTTGTAATGTGAGACATTTTAGCACTGGGATAATAATGTTTTAACTATTGACAAGTTACCAAGTATCTAGCTCTAGTAAGGCATATTTTGTCACCGTTGTAATGTGAGACATTTTAGCACTGGGATAATAATGTTTTAACTATTGACAAGTTACCAAGTATCTAGCTCTAGTAAGGCATATTTTGTCACCGTTGTAATGTGAGACATTTTAGCACTGGGATAATAATGTTTTAACTATTGACAAGTTACCAAGTATCTAGCTCTAGTAAGGCATATTTTGTCACCGTTGTAATGTGAGACATTTTAGCACTGGGATAATAATGTTTTAACTATTGACAAGTTACCAAGTATCTAGCTCTAGTAAGGCATATTTTGTCACCGTTGTAATGTGAGACATTTTAGCACTGGGATAATAATGTTTTAACTATTGACAAGTTACCAAGTATCTAGCTCTAGTAAGGCATATTTTGTCACCGTTGTAATGTGAGACATTTTAGCACTGGGATAATAATGTTTTAACTATTGACAAGTTACCAAGTATCTAGCTCTAGTAAGGCATATTTTGTCACCGTTGTAATGTGAGACATTTTAGCACTGGGATAATAATGTTTTAACTATTGACAAGTTACCAAGTATCTAGCTCTAGTAAGGCATATTTTGTCACCGTTGTAATGTGAGCATTTTAGCACTGGGATAATAATGTTTTAACTATTGACAAGTTACCAAGTATCTAGCTCTAGTAAGGCATATTTTGTCACTGTTGTAATATGAGACATTTTAGCACTGGGATAATAATGTTTTAACTATTGACAAGTTACCAAGTATCTAGCTCTAGTAAGGCATATTTTGTCACCGTTGTAATGTGAGACATTTTAGCACTGGGATTATAATGTTTTAACTATCAAGTTATTTACTCTTAGTAAGACATGGTTTATCATCGTACGATGATGTCATGGTTGTTAAGTTATCTCTTCTGGAGAGAAGCATTTTATCATTAAATGTCAAGATATCTACACTTGGTTCAGACAGCCTGCACTGTTTTATCAGAAATTATGGTAAGGTGGATTTTATATTAGAACACGACGTAACGCGTAAGTACCATTTTTGAAATACATCCTGTGCCGATATCTGATTGTGTAAGACAAAATCCCCTTGATCATTTCAGTGTATTCTTATCTTGAAAACTGCGTTTATATCTGCACCGTAAGTAATCATGTCGTACAGACGTATGGGAGAGTGTCATAGGGCTGTGTTAGTGACGCACTCCAATGGTGTTGTCTAACATATACAGACCCTTAATATTAATCGTGACGTCATGACGTTTAGAGATATCCAATCCTTAATCATTATAACGGGAGACGTCAATTGCGCCTTCTATGTAGTGATGTTCCTGGCGATCTTGTTTTACGTATACAAATAGTTCTATACAGTCACATTCAACTCGGTAACATGATGTTCAACAGGGATGGTGTAAAATACACATTATCTGGCGTTGTACAATATCTATATATACAGAGAAAAAAATGGAAGATAGCGTTTTATTTTACAGATATGTTATTTCATTATTTCATAAAAGCAAACATCTTAATTTTCCTGACCGTTTGAAGTTTAAAGCAATTTTTGTATGTGCTTTGTGATTTTGAATATTGATTGTTTAAACAATTTAGTACATGATATATCATTATCGATAAAGCTATTGGAGTGCTAACAGATTTTTGTTGGATATACAAAAAAAACACTATTTCTGTGTTTTGTTGTTTTTGTTTCATTATTACACAAAACGCATAATTCCGTGTTGAACAAATCCAATGTGTCGGGAATAACGATGTTTCACGGTCCAAACAGAGATGTCATTACGTTATCAAGGCGACAAATCCTGTTGCCATCTACGTCGACGTGATTGATGTTCATTATCAGATAATGACCGCTAGGTGGCGCTGCCACTACCGAACGACCAACATGGTTAATTTGAGTCGTTGTGGATTGATTACGTTTTGCCTTTTCGTTGTACTTTTTGCTTCATTTCTTATCGGAAAAATAATTCTTGTCTGGTAGGTAGCAATTTGAACTTTCCTGGTGTAAACAACTGAATAGCTTAAATTTTATAAATTTGTTGATTACCTTCCTAAAACAGTAAACAGATCTATTTGCAACGCCCTCCGTAATCCAAAATAAGATGTTTTAATGTTTATATATTTAAGCAAAATGCAGCGTTTAATATGAGACAAAAATCTCATTAAAGTATGAAGGTTATTGATTACAAGATGATGGGTATGGTTTGGGAAATGCCATCCGGTTGGAAAGCTAAGTCCTGGCTAGATCATGAGCCATTCGTTAATTCATAAACATTAATAAAATATGTGAACAAGCTGTGGTGCTATTACATGTGTGTGTCTATTTCAAGCGGAACATATTGTCAAAACTCAGATTACATCTGCTGTGGATACACACAATCCCTTATGAAATAAAACTGTATCAGGTCATTTGATTATGAAAATTGCTTCCACAGGAACGCTGCTTCCTTTGCTGAAATATTTCAAATGCTAAATGTAAACCACTGCTAAAAACCTGCCATTGCATAATAATTTCCATTGCATTTCCGTGCAAACGAGATTTCTGAAACAGCCTAACGTTATCAAGTTGTTTGCTTCTAGCGGTTGTCTCATATTATTCGAGGCGGTACGAGAAACTTCGCAACAACGCTGATTCAATTGCGTTCATAACTAAATGAACGCACTTTCTTATGGAAATACTCATAGAGGAACTTGCAGTAGAAATGTAAATATATCATTATGCAAATATGACATGGCGTATCCAGAGACGTCACGCAGCGCAATGTTATGCAACACGTCAGCCCACAGGAAAACAATGATGAAACAAACAGCGGCGTTTGATAATTACAGGTTTTCGACAAATTTGGGAATTGATTACACAAGTCATAGGATACTATGAAATAAGAAGAACAATTATTTCACCTACCGTTCTAGTATACGCCAGAATTTTCCCTTTCATTTCCAATCCTTTATACTTCAATTCCTTTATGTACACGATGTCTCCCTGTAAAGAAAGGAATTATAATGTTCATTAACAATATTTGTTTTAGCCAATCACATTCACACTTTTAATCCTATGTCTCTCTTTCCTATATATGAATAATAAAAAATGTGTTTGTACCCTATTTATTTAAAACAAGTAAGAATAATACCACGATGTTGTCCAAAATGAAGACAACATCCGTCCGCATATTACCTTGGTAATGTTACAAACAACAATACAATTTGAATGTCCTAGATCTTATATCAAAAAGGCTGCTGATTATAATATATACATCTATATTAAATACTTTACATAATTAAGAATAACATAATATTCAAACCAAGTAGCCGACAACATGAATAAGAATAAATCATCAATACAAGGAAAATGGATGCTTAGATAGAAAACAAATCATGTTGTTTTGTATCTGAAGCTTTCTGTTGTTTGGACGGTCATGGTGTCTTTCATTTTGTTTTAGTGTCTTTTCAGTTCCCATTGTTTATTGTTTCCTAATATTGAAATATGATGTCGTCGTTATCGGTTTCTGTTAAATGAAGCATGCTGCCTACTATGTTTTTTTCCATATTAACAGAAAATGTAACAGAAACAAATGGTTGATTACCGTATGTAGGCGTTAACGTACATCTAACACCAAGCATTGTTTTCATGGTGTGAGATGCTTTTGAGCGTATTTTATCTTCCTACATTAATGCACTTTAAGAAAAGTCAATTACTAATTCACTTATTGAAATTAGATTACACATACTATGTTTTTCTAGTCTATTTATGGTTTTGTAATTGTATAGAGAAGGGTGCACTCTGTGATCAGAAGAACCTGCAATATCTATGGAATATACATGATATATCAAAGCATCCCACTACACCACCGTGTGTAGTGCTAATTGCTTTGGATTAGAATGATATGTATACGCGTCCAACTCTGGAAGATATATGATATGTGTACACGTATGTATGTTGTATTGGTTCTCAAAAATCTTGCATATATGTATTTGTACATATCACACTTTTTTTGTAAAGTCTCATGAACGTTTGATATAAATGTGTGCAAACGCCACAAATTATGTTGAATCTTAATAACATGGAATTTACATAACGCTAACATATGTCCCCATAGTATTTGTAGGAACAACAACATGGAATATTACATACATGTACCGGAAAAATACGCTGCCATGGTTATTTTGCCTCTTTCACCTTCTGCACTAAGGGCGAAATTACCATGACAGCGTATGTAAGAAAACAACATATCAAAAATAGGTATGACATGTGAACGGCGATATTAACACAAGGTGAACGTAGATTTTCCTAGTGATTGGTGAACACTCGACTAGGTTGTCCCGTACTCAACATGTATAAAGTGTGGATACTTGTCAGTATTCTATTTAGTGGTATTGACAAATGGTCGTTCTTAAACCTTGAAAAAACATATAAACGCACGTGGTACCGCTCAAATATATTCTCTACTGTCTCTGTTTCCTAGTCATGTTGAGGAAATCGTTACTATGACTTGTATGCCATCTAAACATATTTTATAGGACTAGATGAATAGTCTACAAGTTGAAAAGTACTTAAAAAATCATATTTGATAGTAATAACATGTTAATTTAAACGTAAAACATTTGCAGTTACAAAATGATCGACTTTAAACAGAAAATCACATATTTTTTTCACATTACACCACAATTCATTATAGATCAGCAAGTATCAAATGCGTTTAAGCATCGTACAATTACTGAACTCAATTTGCTGATTGGATAGCAAGTTCAATAGCAAGTTCAATAGCAAGAACAATTCCCTTTTTACCCATTTTCGAGCTTATTTAAATTCAGCCTCCATGCTCACACGCACCGCGTGTAGCCACTGGTAACATAAAATTGTACTTCAATTATATTTCGACTATCAAATTAGACCTTATTGAATATTCTATTGTGCGAAATGCATTTCTGAACACAAATTTGCCGTCTTTTTTCTTTTTGTGCATCAAATTGACTATTGCGTTTGCACATTTTAATAAATGAAAGCACAAGCGTCAACGAAAATTATATTAGGTAGATGATCACGAATCCATTTGAGCGAGATTTGCCAAAATCGGGAAAACATTATTTATTTCAAGGACTCATTTGATTCCCCTTGATATAAATATCGATTCTTTCTGCAAGCATTTGTTGTTACTGCGTTTAAATGTAAAGTTAAGTTTGGAATCAAAAGTTTAATGATAAGATTGAAAAGTCTTCGTTGTTAAAAAATCACGTTTTGCTTGTATCACTTATCCATTGCAATAGAAAGAAAAAAATATGATCATGGGTCAACCTCTAAAACAGTAATCATAGGTTATTGTACTGATTAAATTTTGCGCTAATACGATTGTTTCATATCATGCTACTTTTAAAATCTACAGCAATAATTTCAACTGAGTGTGGGATTTGGTACGAATATGTTTTACGTCGTGGACATAAATACATTTAATGAATTAATAAAAGTACATCAGCATTATGGAATAATACCAGCAATAAATGAGGAACTGTAAACGGGAATTCGGGTTTACAATACATTAAAAACAGCATTGCCTTTGTCTTCGTGTTCCGAATTTGGCCCCTTATTATATAAGGACGCATGTAGGGTAAGTTTTGTTTCCTTGTTAATTGTTTCACCCCCTTTGTACAAACGCTGTTACAACAAACCTTTATAGAATGTTCTTTCCGTTTAACGTCATAGAAGGAAATGCTTTGCAGACACCAACACGGATAAGAGTATAGCTTAAAATAAATTTGATTCTATCATTCTTCATGTCCCTTTCTTTTCCTCGTTTGCGTTCAAAACGGAACCCATTTGGGATATACAAGTGGTTCTTGGCCACTAAATTCAGTTTGTTATTTCTTGTGTATTTTTTACAGCAGACATATTGATGAGGATCACTTCTTTGCTAAAGTCTGATTAATGCTCTGATAGGTCTAGGTTGTTCTGACGAAATGTCACACTTGAAATGAATAATTGTCTATGTCTGGAATGTTTTCAAAACAGTGACCTTTGTTCTTACTCTCGTCCTTTCTTTCTTTCAAAATATATATCGCATCGTAATTTACGAAGGTTGATATTGTGCTTAGACCCATAACGTAATGTAATCTGAAACTGTCATGAAGGAATCATTATATCGATATATTTTGCACGAGATGGGTTTGCTATTTGCTTAATTTCGCGGTGTTCATACCAACTCGATATTGGAACTGTAAATCATTCGCCGCTTTCCACCGATCAACGTCATAAAATACGCTTTCCATATAAGGGATTTATAATTATCTACAAAAAAATATCACGTTAGCATAATTGGCTAATTTGCATGGGGCTTTCTAAATTAAATAATATCCATAATGCTTGTGATTGAGATTATTATTAGCCAAGCAAACAACACAGTTGATTAGTTCCGGGAAATTGCACGAAGGCAGCTTTTTATATTCTCCTGCAAGAGACAGCACACCGTTAAAGATTTTTTACAATATCATTAAATTTATATGCTTCAATAATTTAATTTGCGGACAGTATTGACTTAATTTCGTTCCTTTTTTGTGCAGAAGGCACTGATGCATGTGCTTTCCCATTTCATGCTTGTCGTAGAATACGCTAATTGGAAGTAAAGTTTTCATTTCAGCTTTTGTTGCACAGTTTGAAAGGTTCGAGGGTCACGATAGAAAGGAGTCTGGTAAATTTGAAAAGTAATTTTAAGTCAGGTTCATCTGCATATGTTACAGCACTTATTTACGTTCCACTGCTTTAGACTTCAATAAAATTAAAATAATGTTCTGCTGTATACAAATTATTGCCCTTAAGATGCAAATAAGTTCGGGTTTACTGTTCAGCAGAATTTCGTTTGTGTCTTTTAGGATATGATGATTGATGATGTTAAAGTTAATTTCACTGAAGAGGTTCATTTAGCAGGAATATAAGGTATATGCTCATGTTTCATCGAGCCACTGCTATGTTAAAACGATGTAAGAAATCGACGACACAAATGAGACACTAGCATGATGGTGGATTTTGTATTTTGGCCTCCGCTCAGGGATATTGATTAAAATAAAACAAAAATCTGACGTATTAGTTTTAAGAGTTGGGATCGTCTTTTCCGTTTCTGATTTTTTCCTTCTACATTTTACATTTTTATTTGTCTCTTTTGACAAATCTATCGTTTCCTTTTCTTTTCTACGATGTATCTTTAATTCCTTAACTGGCTGTCGTACCGTTTCGTTTAGATCCCGCGGGCTGACTCCAAGTGCGGGTTCTACGTAAGATATTACAGCAGTGTAGTAGAGTTTATATAACGTAGGCCTATTATCTCACGATAACCAGTTCAGCCTTTTTATGTTACAATATTCAATGACGTTCATTGTGACGTTATAATCATGGGTCAGCTCACAGACAAAATAGTGTATATTGTACCAAAGCAATTTTCAGTGATCAACCTGGGCTATTTTTTTTATTTTTTTTGTAAGCTGCAAATTACAATACTACTACATAGTTACAGTGTATAGTAGTTTATATAAAACCAAATAATTTGTTTCTTTGATCTCCAAACCACCGGCAGAGTTATATAAAATATTCATAGTCAACTTATATTCTTTAATGAAATACACTCTAGAATACAATTTATCAATATTTAGAGATAAAAACGAGATCGTTTGTTAGTTGCAGTCCCTTCTTAGCTTAAAATAATAACAGTCAGTCTTTGAAGGACCCAGGATTTGTTGTTACTTTGTTTTACCAACAGAGATTCTCAGCGATGCGTTCTTCCCTTTTAATCGGACATTGTGTGTAATTAACCTGTTTTAATGCATGTAAAATGTGTTTGTAAAGTATTTTTTTAATGTTTTCTGTTGATTTGTTGTAGGGTTGTTTTTAGTCTTTGCAAACGCTATGAAAAGGGACCAAAAGAAAATATCAGGGACTTTTTAAAGTATCACGTCATATTGCAGTGACGAGGGGCGTTAATTCAGCGAAATGCGTTTATTAATAATATCCCAATTGCACAAAAGCTTATACAAACCTGAATACAGTGACCCATCCTCGATAACCAGGGTTACGCCCATTTTCGCTCTCTACAACCCTAGATATGTCATAGAACAATTGAAGACAGGAAGACAGCTGTTTGATTGCGCACAGGTAGAAAAAACTGACTAATCGCTGGGCTGATACCTGGGCCGGCTAAGATAATTACCTTGTATCTGGCAATCTCGGAAAACTCTGTCCACTCATGTAGGCTGATAAGTGACCGGCTGGACTTCTCCGACGCCTTGAGAAGGTCTGGTGGATCTAGGAACCCACCATTGGTCAGCTGTGTAATAGATATACACCATATTGAGTACATCTTTAAACATCATATTTAATCAAAATGATTAAATAATAGGGATCGAAAGATTTTGACATTAATATCAAGCGTCGTATTTCCTTCTAAAGAACAAAACATCAAACATCAAATTAAAGGAATGACACTACTTAACTTAAATCAATATCAATGTCGAAACTAGTTGCTTTGATCGAGTAAGCGTTTTCTGCACCCGGTGGTACCAGAAAATACGTTTCCTGTTTCACGACTATTTGTATTAGTATAGGGGTCCATGTAATTAATGTTGGATGTATCATCATTCGATATGATGTTACAATTACGCCGATATTTCTGCAGTTTAAAAAGAGAAGCATTTATACTAAAACATAATTTTGTCAATATACTTTAATCCTTCAGTCCTATTTTCCCTGTAAAACTCCGCGAGTGTGACAAAACAAAATGGGGAAGATAAAGAGAAGTATATCGGTTATGTAAAATCTAAAACAGTATCTCAGTTAATGGCAGTAAAGAGTGTAAACGTTAACGTACTAACTATGCCTCTGGATAAGTTTTTTTCTCTCACAATGCCAGTTAGTAAGACGAAATGTATCTGACATTGTCCTTCTAGAATTTGGATTCAAATCGCTTGACCCAAACGACTTTTAGATATACGCTGGTAAGACATGTGTCAAGCGCATACTATGAAATAGGCTCGTGACAATTTGAATGAAAGATTAATTTTAAGCTTGCACTCCAGGAGGAATTATCAGCACCGGTCATCGTGATCATACAACACGCCAATGCGATTAATTTAATACTTCAATAGTGGATTGTACGGAATCAAGCTGTCCTCAACTCAAGTAGATCGTGATAACTCTGCCTCAATTACTGAACTCCAATGAAAACCACAGCCAGTCATCCACACGCGATAGCGGCCGACATCACGCTTCGTATAACAGACAATACGAACTGTTGTCTGGGATAGGGAGTGAAGATAAATTTCACAATTCTTGTTGATTGTATGATTCAAATGGACGTTATATACAATGGGAAAGTACTTCCCAGCCTCAGCATACATGTACACAGACAGAATCGGATCTTATAAGTTGGTTGTTAGGAAGAGTCTAAACGGCAGTATTTTAAACTGCAAAGACAAACAAAAGTAGAGGTTTCAACGAAACCGGTAACATAACTCAAAATCGTTAAAGTAATGTTAAATATGAATAAAGTAAAGATTAACATTGAGGCCCTTAAAAAGGACAAGGACAATAAGAACGGATGTTCTAGACGGGTAAACATCTGCTTCATCGACATCACCAGCAAAGGTCGGTGGAGATACTAGCCACACACGGATGATAAGGTATTTCTGCACCACATGTGTTGCCTGTATTATTTGATGCATGCATTTTTACATCATCGAAAAAGCAAAGGTGTGTACTGCCGATTTGAAAACCGGTGGGCCACTTTAAATTTTAATTATATTTAAATGTCACTGACTTGGACTTGGTAGCAGCACCTATAAATACGATCATATTACCATGACAACAGACTTACCAAAGGTACCTAGAGACGAACATCTGAACAAATATACAGATTTATAGAAACAGATACAGACTCCGAATGTTGCTATGTAGGCAGCAGACTGCTGCTATTCCTTTATCAGAGGAAAAAAACGAATATTCCGATTATATAGTGAACCCGGTTGATTCGAAGATTGGCCATGCTAAGTCTAATTTCGTTTCTACCGAACTTTCAGGTAAAACGTAATTGCTGAACAGAAAAGGCAGATACTGCATGTATGAACATTAATATGGAAAGTGGTAAAATAAACAAAAAAGAATTAAACAAATAAACATATAGCACATCGCCTACAAAAGAATAATTAAATTAACAATGTAACATAAAAGTAAAAACAAACTAACAACAACATTACTAAGGAAATGAAAAGGACAGAAACTTGAGATAAAACCCAGTTGAAACACATTAAGTTTTCAAAACTATGAAATGGTGTAATCACTACTTATCGGAAAATTAGTCATACATGTAACGACAACCGGAAAAAGTCTACAACATAGATCGTCACCTCATAGTTACTAAGACAGCATTGCTATACTCTACACAACATTTTTTGATCGGTATCAGACGTCATTCCGTATCGTTAATAGACACTCGCCCCTCATGTCTACAGTAGACAGACACATTTTAGGTAGCATTCACCGCTTATATAACATTAAATAGGCGACTGACAAAATCTTGAATAGTTCGGAAACGTAATTGTATTTCGAAACTACCATATACCAGATCGTCTGCATTGACATAAATTACTTGAAGTATTTTGCCTATAAAGTGAAGAGAATGTTGGTGAACAATTGATTATAAATACAAAAAATATATAAATTGACTTTTCATTTAGATTTAATGGTCTTATGCTATCATTTAATTGCTCTGATTGCACATGCTGACTTTGTGTTGATATCTTCTCAGTTCCTGCTTTAGTTCCTGTTCGTTCGTATCAACTATGTACTGATATCCACCTTGTGTGTTGCCTTTATTACACGCTTTGAATCCTAAGGCCAAAGCTGGCGTAATTCAATTAATCATCTAAAATTCCAAACATTAATGGTGCCGCAGACATCTCGACTCATCATCTTATTTCAAAAGAAGTCACAAACCAATAAAGAATGTATATACAGCATAAATATATATTAACTGTCTGCAACTGCAATAAAATTCATAAATCAAATATTTGCTCTGATATTCCTTTACTACGTATTTTTCAAATACAATACACGTGTTTTTTATTCACGTTGTCAATTTCTATATAAAAATAAAATATTGCTCAAAAATGCTATCGGATGCTACTTGTTCTTCCTCACTAATGGCAGGGAAAATAATAACGGAACGATATATATCACACATGCGAGACATACTACTCTATTTAAAACCTCGGAAGCTTTATACCATTGACGTTTTGATATCCTTGCGGTGTAAAAACGTCAGATCATCCGGTTCTAGAAGTACCCTATTTGGTCCCTTCGTCATCAACCTCTTGGTTTTCCGTCTCCTGTAATGGCAGATTTAATAGATAAACAAACCATCATGACATGTTTATATCAGTTTGATAACAGTCGGCTGCCTTATTTTTTTTTTTATTCAATCCGCTAATTATATTGAGGCACCAAAAGCTATGTTAAAATTTTAGTAGTACTACTACTACTATTACTTCTACTACTACTACTACTACTACTACTACTACTACTACTACTACTACTACTACTACTACTACTACTACTACTACTGCTACTACTACTACTACTACTACTACTATTACTTCTTCTTCTACTACTACTACTACTACACTACTACTACTACTACTACTACTACTACTACTACTACTGCTACTGCTACTACTACTACTACTGCTACTGATACTACTACTACTACTGCTACTGCTACTACTACTACTACTGCTACTGATACTACTACTACTACTACTACTGCTACTACTACTACTGCTACTACTACTACTACAACTACTACTACTACTACTGCTACTGATACTATTACTACTACTACTACTGCTACTACTACTACTACTACTACTACTACAACTACTACTACTACTACTGCTACTGATACTACTACTACTACTGCTACTGCTACTACTACTACTACTGCTACTGATACTACTACTACTACTGCTACTGCTACTACTACTACTACTACTACTGATACTACTACTGCTACTACTACTACTACTACTACTTCTACTACTACTACTACTACTACTACTACTTCTACTACTACTACTACTACTACTACTACTTCTACTACTACTACTACTATTACTTCTTCTTCTACTACTACTACTACTACACTATTACTACTACTACTACTACTACTACTACTACTGCTACTGCTGCTACTACTACTACTACTACTACTGCTACTGCTACTACTACTACTACTGCTACTGATACTACTACTACTACTACTGCTACTACTACTGCTACTACTACTACTACTACTACTACTACAACTACTACTACTACTACTGCTACTGATACTACTACTACTACTACTACTGCTACTACTACTACTTCTACTAGAACTGTTCCTACTTCATGAACCATATATCACTCCCCAGTCGCACCACAGCTTACCACCATTTTACTTACTCTGTGTAGTGTTTACAATACTTACCATAGTAGAAACAGTACCAAAGATACAATTCCTCCAAGAGTAACTAACGTCAATGGAATAGCGACTGCTAGCATAAAATTCATACCTGAAATAGTCAACCGTACGGATTTTATTCAAATGGCATTAAGCCTTAAACGCCAAATGCGAATGAGCACAAATAAAGCATGACAAATGTACACATTTCAAAGAAAACAGACGATTGATCAGAGGTTTTCTCTTCTGTTCTTTACTGTAACAATCAACAAATTACCAATGATTATAAAGAATTTGATAAATGGATGGTCTTAACAAATGACCCTCGGGTGAAGTCTGGATATTGCTTTCAAAACGAATGTTAAACAAGTTGTTGTATTTTATGATATCTGATTACGATTAAAATTGAGATTTTCACTCGTATTTGTTAATAAAAGGTATACATGTTTATTTATCTATTATCTCTTTATTTTGTTTATATAACAGCTGATTCACCAAATCAGTTAACTGAAGTCGATGTGTTTATTTGATGTTACTAGATGGAATAAATGACCCAACGTATTTCTTATATTACGAAATATGTCAATGTTGTTGCTACAAACTGACGCATCTACATATACCCTTTCGTTATTGGCCACGATGACCTCATATATCATTGAAAGTACTTTGCCTTGCTTCGCTTATAAAACACATTGGATGGAGATGAAACAAAAATGATGATCGTACAATTTCTACTCCGAGTCCATAGTTTTGTTATTGATAACCAGAGTAAGAATTATGTCCAGTCATCGAGACAGTATCACATCGTGTGTATTATAACACGCAGGTACACATAAGTCATCTCTTTTGATACCAAGTAAATTTATGTCAATCAAAATTGGTAAATATACATGTATTGGTGCTTCGGTTAAATCTCCGATAACAAATAACTTATGTGTAATTATCATATTCAATGGGATCCAAAAGAAAGACACCACATGTAAACAAAAGCAAAAGATCATCATAACAGTAAATGGCCAAACAATGGCGATTGCCTAATGATCAAACAACAGACCCATTTATCACAATTAAGCAGTTTTTACCACCTAACAATTAGTAGGTGTTGGCAACCAATCATATATATGTTATGTATCAACATATGTAGTCCCTGTTATACATGGGCGTTTTTGATGGATAACAAAAGGAAACTTGAAGGTTTACGGATGATCAGGAAGGCACTCCTGTTCAGCCAGAGAGGATCGGATACGTGATCATAACGACAACAGCTGCTACGATAACGACTATATAACTGCTATTCAGGATAGACAGAGAGGGCATTATGATACTTGGTGAATGTCAACTCATCCATAATACGCCTCTTACTTCTCCAAATGTCGGAAGTATAATCCATCTCCGAAAGACATCACATCTATCTTATTGTTTACTACGAAGATATATATATAATACAAAACAGAAAATCTCAACAACACGTATTTAGTACTTTCATATCTTCAAGGACATCTTCAGACATATATGGGGGAACATATATCGCATATGAACCTATTTCAGAGGTAGACTATTTACCGTTTTGCTACTCCCTTTTTTCAGATATTATCGTTTTAGTAAAGACGTCTCAGCTTTCCCCTTGTTTACAGCGTAGCTGTATGGATGTATAAAGTGAAAAAATATCACACATATTATTTTAGCGGTAATTATTTTCTATCGCGGTTTGTCACTTGCCATTTTTATTTATTAATGCAAAGCTACATCATGTATAAAGAGGTGTAAAGGGAAATGTATCGGATATTATATAATTTAAGTAGTAAGTTAATTTATCGCGTTTTATAACTTATCATTTTCTTAAGGTATTAACTTCTGAACGACCTCACATCTGTCTTACTGTTTTCTATATAGCTTCACGTGGATAAAAGATATAAAAAGGAAATATATCGAATATTATCTCATTTTAGTGGTAACTTAATATTATCGCGTTTTGTAACTAACCATTTTCTTAAAGTATCAACTTCGTAAAGAGCTTAGATCTGCCTTACTGTTTTCTATATAGCTTCACATGTATAAATTTATATAAAAAAGTAAATATACCTTATATTATCTAATTTAAGTGGTAACTTATCTTTATCGCGTTTTTAACTTACCATTTTTAAGTTGTCCACCTCGAAATGACGCCGCATGTAATTTATAAAGCTAGGTAGAGGTAACATGGGGAATATATCACAAATAACTTAATTTTACAGGAATTATTTTTATTGAGGTTTGTAACTAATATAACCTTTTTAAAAGGTTATCCACATCGTTAAGACGTCACAACTACCTTAATGTTTACTACATAGCTGTAAATATTTATATAGGAGAATTATATTGATCATTTTCTTACTTCAGCGGTACATAATCTTAATTGTGTTTTGTAATCCACCATCTGTGTGATATGACAACCGTTTGACGTCACATCTAATTTTGTGTCTGCTACTTCGTTGAAGTATAATGGGTATATACCCTTCAGTGCCATTTTAGGGCAACATTTAGAGCGTGTTTCCTTTGAAAATATCATTAATGTATATGTCTATATATCTTACTGTTTGCTACAGTGCTGTAGAGATAAAAATGGTTATAAATGAGTGAATATTTTTGTTTTTGTGATAAATTGATTAAAGCGAGTTCTTTGGCTCTTCCTGTCAAAGTATCATTTATCTTTAATCAAACGTTTCAGACAATTTTAAATTTGTTGATGCATATCGGAATATTCTGCATCAAAACCTAATTCATTGAAAACATTTAAAGGTTCCGTTTCACCTCTTAAATATATTACGTCAGAAATCATTAACAAAAACGAAGGCGGAAACTGATGGTCCGGAATGAAAAGCATTTCTCTATCACATTAAGCAGGATCGCTCATTACATCTTACTGTTTACGTAAATTTCCATCATCGTCAAGAGATGAAAGAAATGTTTTGAAACCGATTGAATGTTCACTAAAGCGTTTTTGTATGTCGATTACTTCATTAGCGATATATAGAATGTACTTGTGTGTGCTATGGATTGGTAGTTTTACACTACACGTGACGTTCGTTACGTACACGTGACTAGCCGACTTAACGGTCACAGTTTATCATAATACTCTATATCAGACGTCATTCATTAGCTCTAGATCTCTAAAATTCAATTTGGGTCAACAAAGACTGATAGACATTTCCGTATGTTAGGTTCATTAAAAAGTCTCGCACACACTGGAATCACTTATTACAATTAAACGTTTATTGAACCATTTTGTCAAAGCATGAGCAACTTAAAAATTCTTCAACGCAAAATTTCAAAATTCGACCTTTGAAAAATGTCTGAAATACAAACTAAGTTCTTTTTTGTCTGATGTTCATTAGATGTTCAAGTGTAAAATTGAATTTCAACATATTTTTTATAAAATTATACTACATTTAAATTGTGGGATAACTTATTGTTAGGCTAATCATTAACTGGCATACACTAGATCCTGTTTATTGAGACTTAGGCTTGATTAAGTCTGACTCGACTGATTTTTTTTAATATCGTGAACGACCTCAACTAATTGTTTGACATCACAAGATATGGGAGACTGTAAGTAATTTGAATCACAAAACGTGATGTAGTCCAAGGTCCGGAACTCATACTGGGTCACAACATGTACGAACGTAGAAGTATTGCATACGTTATTGTTTTTCTTTCGAGATGTACACAAACGTTTGAACGGACCTTTTCCTACACTCACGGCGGCAACGTGGATCTTGCAAATTACTTACACATTAAAATGCATAGCTATTGGTGATCTAAATAGAGATTTCCCTCCACATTTTTGCTTTTGATTTTTTTGGATCCTCATCTAAATGTTTGTTTCTTACAAAAAATCGGATGACATTGATCCAATTGTTTCATACCTCTAGTAATACAATTCCTGCTTATCTTCATATAGGGACTCACAACAGAATTCTAGATATACAGAGAACACATTTTTTACATTTAAATGTCATCTATTCTTTAAACTCCGTTTGTTTATTTTAAAGCTTCTGAACGTCCATATTTTTCTAGCGACGCCTCAGCATTGATCAATAAACTATTGTTCTTTCATCATGCATGTATTCGGCTGCTGTCCTTTTTTTGAAGTTTATGATTTTTGTTATTATCTGCTAAAGCATGTTTGTCCGGTGCCCTTTTTTGTTTTGGTTTCGTTACGGTTGACGATGTCGGTTATCTTTTGTTATTATGTCTGCTATTTTAAATAANTTTTTCATGAAGACCACACAGAAGTCTTTGGCGTATTCAAACACTAACAAACGCTAAGCCTCAGGTTCATGCTTTTTGAAATGGCAGTTTGACCCTCCCCCAACCCCAAAGAAAAAAAACCCCCAAAAAAACCCAATCCCATTTGAAATGCCGATGACCATAAAATTCAAATAGATCATACAATGTATGTGTTTGTTAATAAACTTGTCCACCATTATTATAAATATTCCCGCAGTTACTTTCTATATAACTGATGCGTAATTTTTTTTCTATATCATTTTATATAAAAAAGATTAACAACCAGTATCTGTATAATACTATTTAAACTGTGTCATCATCAATAACTTGAATAAATGAGTTTGTTATGGATGTTCAATGTTTTTATGGGGCTCCATGGTAGGTAAAATCAATTACAAGTTGTTGATTTTTTTTGCTCATATTGAGTTTCGCTTGTGTAAAAATAGTTTAATATAGTTATTTAAAGGCACTTGAGATTTCATGATATTACAAAAATAAACTCGCTCCCACGCAAATATTTTAATTTGTTTTATGCCTGAACATACTTTGCCAAAAGCAAGTTTCAGACGTTTGCAAATGGTTGATATTGAAATGACTCCAAAGTACTCTTGTACTGACATTGAATGACCTCCTAGTACACTTGCACTAAACATATATTTTATAGGTCCTCATTATAGACAAGCAGGCGCTGATGGTAGACAGTGATCCGATAGGTTTATCTGAAATAGGTGATGTGGACGTGACAGCATGACACTGTTTATAGCTATAAGCCGTTCTAGTCACTAAATTACGTCGGGTACAAAATGCTAATTAACACGCTAACCGTCGCTTCCGTACGGTTGA